CAAGAAAAAAAAAACAAAAAAAAACTTGAAATTACAAAGCTTGCTTTCAAAAGGCTTCAGCTCAGGAGAATAGTAGATAATCAGACGGTGACTTCTAACATCAGCAAAAACAAACACTTTTCTTACCAGTGTGATCAATAACTCTACTCTTTAACTATTTTCCCCTTATTCAATCCAAAATGATGGCGCTTCTTTGGCCCTGTTTAAATCTGGTATTAAGATAGCAGTAGAAATTAGACGAGACGGACACATTCCCATTCACATTAAGTGTTTTTTAATCTGTATCTTTTGTCCACTTTCAACCACCTTTGCCCTGATTTAATTTGAGGGGAGGGTCTATTAGCAGTTAAATCTATCCGCTTTACCAGATCTTTCGATCTAATGGTCGAAATAATCACTCAATTTACATATGAATTCAACTGGAGATGATGGAAAAACATTATGGAGAACTGCAGCTTTTGCTATGGTGCAAGAATATGGCGAACGCTGAGATTGCGTGTTAGAAATCAGGAATGGTGAGAGAGTGCTTGATATGTTTTTTTTTTTAATCTTCAAATCAAATATCTTCAGCCGACAAAGTTTAAATTCTGGCCAGCGCTTCCCATGATGTTTATGCTTTAGGTCAGAAGGTGGAGATCTTTTGCGGCTGATCGAAAGCACTATGAAAAGCAATCTGGTCTAATGCATTTTTGACTAACTCAAAGTGGTTGAAAATGGACAAGCTCAAAACAGGATGTTTTATTAAAGTTCAGGAGGAGCACATTCAGATAATTAAACCTAATTAAACACATGCGGAGCACAATCAGATAGTCAAAGCTAATTAAACACGACCACATTTAGTTAATCAGCCCAATAAATGAGTTAAGATATACAGCCAGCCCGTTCTCATCCTAGGGCGTCATATACTGATGCTTTTGCCAATGCGTATACATCCAACGCACATGGCACCCGTCAATAGCGTCAATATGAGAAGCAGATATATTAGGGCCAGATGGTGCCTCCTAGTGGTCTAACCCTAACCCTACCCCTGACCTAAACCTACATATTAACCGAAGCTTGTTATATTGACGCTAAAGGGTGCCATGTGCGCTGGATGTATACGCATTCATTGGCAAAAGTGTCAGTATGACGCCTTGGGACGAGAATGCGTTGATAGAGCAGACATACATCCGTTCATTGACAGTTCTATCAGCATCCCTCCACCACCCCATCTCCTCACTTCTAGTCTTAACCACTCTTCGGAGCCCTTCCCCCGGACAGCCCGCCAAATACGCATAATCCTTACTCCGTTTATTTTGATGTAAGTGCAAACTCGTGAAGTTTTAGACCCCTTTTATACCTGTATTTATCACCGTCCACTTGTGATTTAATCGACCAAAACACATCTTAATACAAGTTGTAAACAGGGCCTTTGAGCAACTCTAACTTGCAGAGTTGAACACTCACAAAGCTTGAGATTAATCAAGATACCTTGCGATTTTTTTTTTACTAACAAAAATTAACCACACAACATATACAGAATTTACATGTACATGTCATCATATTAATGTGGACATTGCTTGTAAAAGAAACCAAAGTTACACAGTATATACTACCATTCAATATTTTGGTATAAGGCCGTGTGTCCACCAAAGCGTTTTTTTGCCAGCTGAAAACGCTAGACGCTCTGCTGACGACGCTGTGCTTTGGGCGCTTGAGAGCGTTTCCGTTGAGACGTTTCGTTGCTATGATACAGAATATCCACAGCAGTTTGAATGTTGTGACAGTTGGTCGGTGTGGTATTTTTATATTTCACTTTTATATCAGCAAGGATCAAAAAATGGCAGTCCTTTTAAACTTTTTCTTAATCAAAGAACCCTAAAGAAATGAATCATGGTTTTCACAAAAACAAATTTTAAGCAGTGTTTGTGGACAGTGAGATTACTTTCACACTGGCAGTCTAGTTCAAAACGGGGCACGGTTCCCATGAGAAATTGGTAATGTGTAAGCTGTCATGCGCACCGTGGTACTGAACCCAAGAGTAGGAGGTGGTTTGAGCTCGGATGCACTGGAACTGTGGTGGGATTTGCGTGAATGTTGTGAAAGCAATGGGACACTTGTTCAGGAAGTAAAGTAACCTGCTTGTAAGTTTTAGAAGATGGTGACATCATTACTTCAACAAAATGAATTCACACAAGTTCACACTTGCATATAATTAGATCATAGTAAAATGTATGTGTATTTGGAGGGCTGTCTGGTGAGAGGGCTCCGAGCTCGGAATTTGGCCCGAGCCCTGGTTGTGATAGAAATAGTTCGAACTAGAAGTGAGGACATGGGGTGGTGGAGGAGGGATGCTGATAAACTGTCACTGAACAGATTAACTCCTCTCACATGTGTTCTGTTTTCTAAAATGGCCCATGCACAACTTTGGTGTTGTGTAGAATTTTAACTGGCTACCTGTCAAATTATTACCCCACTCGTTGAGGCTGCTACCTGGTTACCATATTTGATTGGGTAATCTATACCCAACTAGCCAGCCCCACACCTAATCCTAAACCAACCTATAGAGACTGAAAGGTTAATGGCTAGACAATAGCGTTTTGAGGGTCTGAAAAAACAAGCTTTTGAAAATTTGGTTTTTTTTGAAAACGATACCGTTATCGTCTCCATATAATCTACAAAAGCGTGAATTTGTGAAAACAGTGACATCATGCGAATGCATATTTCAGGTTCAGTCTATAGACCTTATTAGCAGCGCCATCTTTCATTTTTAATGGGAATGATGAAAGCGAGGCTATGAGAAATAGACATACAGGGATTGGACAATGAAACTGAAACATAATTTGTTAGTATGGTGAGGGCCTCATTTTGCATCCAAATACAGCAGCAATTCATCTTGGGAATGACAGATAGAAGTCCTTCACAGTGACCAGAGGGATTATGAGCCGTTTCTCTTCCAGAACAGTGTCCAGGTCACTATATGATGCTGGTGGACTCGCTCCTCCAAAACACCTCAATAATATTTATATCTGGTGACTGTGCATGTTCAACGTCACTTTCATCTTCATCAAACCCTTCTATCACAAGTCTTGCTGTGTGTGTTGGTGCATGATCATGCTGATACACGGTTTGAGCATCAGGTGCTCATGATCCTCCAGAAGGGTTTGGTAGTCCTCGGCAGTGTCGTGTCCATCAAATACAATCAGGATTGTCATGATATTGGAGCTCAAACCATCACTGATCCACCCGTGCTTCACTCTGAAGATTGGCTGCCAGGCATATAGATGTGAAACCTCCAACATTGGCCAGTGTTTCAGTTTCATTGTCCAACCCCTGTACATCTCTTCAGTAAGTTGTACTGTTATATATTAAGGGCGGGGTTGATTTTGGGTTGTTCTGCAGACAATTAACACTGCAAAAATATCTTTCCTATGTATTTCAGTAGAGAAACATTTAAAAAAAAAAAAAAAAATCTGAGTTTATGCCCTTGAAAACATGGTAAGTCTATCCCTCACAGTCTTGCTTTTATTCATGTTATGGCGCTACTTTGAATAAGGTCTATATTAGGCGTGTAGATTTTTCTTTACAAAATTACCTCACCAACAACTGGCCTGGGAATTCAGCATTTTTAGTCATTTTCGCAATACGCGCAAAAGCAAATGAAAACCTTTTACGTTTTTTCAATACACTGTTGACATATAAACGTTCCCTCGGTCAGGGTTGTTATAACCTATAGGGGGTCAGAATTTGGCACAACACGGAACGATCACGTTTGGACCAGTGTGAAAGCCCCCTAACACAGTGTTTAATCCAGGGCAATGGTGTAAGTCCAACAACTAATTAATCCACTTAAGGCAAAAGCAGAGCTGCGGGTGAGGGATTAGACAGGAGGACAGAGAAGAAAAAAAACAGTAATACTTTACTTGAAGTGGTGTGTGCATAAGACTGACATGACACATTCATAATCATGACATGTCATTAATATGAAGGAGGTTTCATGCATGTTTATGACAACTGTCAATAAGTGTCATTCACTAAATTTTTACATTATATAATTGACTACGTTATGACACTTTGACATAAACTAATACATCATAACCTGTCAGTGTGAAGGTGTCATGTGAATTATGAAGGTGTCGACTCATGTCAGTATTATGCATTGCACACCCCTTCAAGTAAATTGTTGCCGAAAAACCAAACCCATATGACGTTATGTCAACCAGCACAAAAGGAAAAACAATGTCCGTATCTGCTCCACTGATAAAAAAAATGTCATATGGGTGTGGAACAATATGAGGGTGAGTAAACGATGAAATGATCATTTCAGGGTGAAAGTTAACATGTATTGCCGAGTTGACTAAGCACTGGAAGAGAGAAGATATGTTCAGAATTAATACTGTACATGCAAACAAATAGCTTATCTTGCAATAATACTCTCTAATGCAAGTGCAATCTGGCTTGTTCTACTGACTTGAGAACAGATCTGAATTTGCTTTTATGAGGGATTTCTGATTATCCTAAATGAACTAAGAGGGCAAGTGTCCTGTCCTGTGAGCTTAAACGGTAACATGAGATGGTACAAACAAGTCGTAGAAGTGACACCAGCAGCTGTTGCCCCTAATTTACCCTTACAGATGACATTCCCCACCGGGCTTTCTCATAAACAACTTTGTATTTTGTTTTTGCCCTAGTCTTCCTTTTGGTCTCATTTCTCATCTTCTTTTCATCATGTGGTCACAAATAAGCACACAGGTACAGTGTTACTATTACACAAGAATATTTTGCTATAAAATCAGCATTTCTAAAACAGCGCAGAGTGATTTTATTTCAAGGAGTCTATAAAAACATACCGGAAATACTGGAGCAACTGTTCATTAAAAGACCTTTTGATACAAGACATTATGTCAGCTAAGTGATCATTCATATGAGAGACAGTTTAATTTCCTTTAGAATCAATTAACCTTAGATGACCAGACAACTCAGCTATCAAATATGTTGTAAAGCATTATGTTAACACTTACACTGGCAGATATATCATCTTTGTGGATTTTAGGCAGGATTCAGAATTCAGGAGCCTGTAAAACATGATGACTAATTCACATCGGTGTCTTTGAAAGTTATGTAATCTTTTTTTTTTTTTTTTTTTTTTACATAAAAGAGTATTGAGGGGAACAAACATGCAAATCCAGCTGATGACGAATCACTTCATTATGACGCGTTTACTTTCCACATATTCTACCTGAATTAAACAATTTCCAGACTCATCATTAAAAAGCAATAATTAGGCTTGGAATTAACTACACGTTCCACAAATGACCCAAGAGTCATGTCTGGCATGTGTAAACCTATTCATGAGATTCATATATGACTCGAAGACGGGCTAATATCAGTTCAGCAGCTCATTTGCATGTTAAGTAACCTCAAAGTTAAATTATATTGGCAAAGTTGAATATGTTAGTCATATAAACATATAGTAACATACAAGCATTTTGTATATGATTACAAAGCAAAAAACATCAGAAATTATCAATTTGATTTGAAACATCAGCATGTTGAAATATTAATAAACTTATATTAAGTATCTGAACACAGAGCGAGTGAAAAGGGTCAGTTGCCCTTGAATAAACTGCTTTTAGCAGTGCGCTGTGGGCAAATGTTTATAGTTTTGGAGTACTGCACCACATTAGGCCACACTGTTGACCTCTTCACCATAGGGGGCTATTATTTTCATTGTCTAGTACCGAGCAGCCGGGATGGCATAAGGCAAATTGACATCTCCAGACATTGTGCACAAAAACAAGTTCCTGATTAGTTCTTATTACATGCCGTACATTTCGTTCAGCCTTGCTAGATTGAAAAACAGCATGCAAAGCTCAGTATTACACCAGAGACCAGACCTGTCTGCTTGATGATTTGAGATGCAATTAAAGTAAATGAACGTCTTCTCGCCAGGACTGTTCTTTGCAGCTCTTAGGTTCAGAGGCAAAGCTAAAGTTTAAAAAGAAGTAGAAAATCAGTGGTTCACAATCCAAAATTGTGGTGGTCCACAGCCCCAAATGGGTTGCAGGTCTGTTCTGATGGACGTTTGAAATAAATCGATGTTAAATAAATAATAAAATGCAATAATTTACCATAACTATAGGACAAAATATAATATGGACATAAGGTCATCCCTAAAAACGACTAAAACTAAGTTAAAAGAAAGTAAAAGTAGGCTAAAGTATGCATTTTTTATTTACTTTTTTAATCTTGGCCTATTTGTCATTTAAAATATCTCAAGGCAAAATGAAATAAAGTGTCAATGCAGCATAACTAAACATTCTCCAGCGCTGGAGTTCATAATGAAGTGCACCGATTACTATTGTGTTTACATTGTGTAACAGGAGCACGTGGACAACAAACAGCTGGGGTCAGGCCAGCACGCGCCTAGAACATTCTGCTCATGCCACGCGCTTTCTGTTATCATTATGACGTCGAGAAGTTTGACAACACAAATGAATGAACGAGCATTCAGCAGAAAAGCGCTCGCCGCAGTGTTAGAGAAACTGAAACACACGGCCGATAAAAGGCCTCAAGAAACTGCTGCTGAAAATTCATATGCAGAGTGGTTTTGAATTGCATTCGGTTAGTTAAACCATTTCAGGGTGCTCCGGTTATAATTCGTCTGGCGATAGTAGGCGGTGTCTCTGCCATTTGAGATACAGAGAAATGAAAGTAGCCTAGAAGCGAAACCACATGTCTAATTGTAATTAACATAAACATTATACAACTATAACCGCCATTAAACACTAAAAAAAACTTACATTAGCTCACAAGCCATTCTGCCAAATTAATGGGAAATCCAAAAAATGTCTGGGAATCGATTCGTTCAAACGGTTCATTTCAAAGAAACGAACTGTTTCGTTGAAAGGATTCAGCCTTCTTTACGCTATGACGTAGTCAGTCATCCCGTGGTCCCCGACATATGTAAGTATTGTGTAAAACACATTACTGTTTATTGCGATGTTACATTTTATTAAAAGCCAACTAGCCTAACTAGTTGGTAGACTTGTAGCCTACTTTAATACGCCCTAGGGTTTCACAGTAATTAGCCTGTGTTAACATTCCATGTTGAATTTAAATGCAATTTGCATTTGCATTAAACTACTAATTTTAATGTCTAATATAATTCTCTTAACTGAAAGGTTTATTCATTCTTAGATAAAATTAAAGTCAACTCTTGTTGCTTGATAAATTATATCCAGTACAAAATTTAAATGTAATTTTCAACTTTAAAAGTAGCTTTCACACTTTTCGCTTTTTCACAAATTCTTTAAAGTGTTCATGTTCGAAAGAGGCGTTTCGCGCTTCAATGAGTCGGCGAGTAGAGTGAGTGAGAGCCGCACGGACAGATTCAGATTCAGACCGATTGTGAAACGCCTCAACCGAATCATTTTAAGGATCCGACTCAATAGAACAAGGATCCGGTCATCGCTAACCAGCAGGCTAGCGGACTATAACGTCACAAAACATCAGTTTTATTGCAATCTTCAGTTTAGGTCTCGTACTTTAATCAGTGCACTGGAGGAATAAATAATGCCAATGAAGAATGTCTGTTTATGATAGTGCATAACATATTTGTTCATGTGGTGTAGTAGCCTAAGTAACGTTATAGACTTACCAGTCGTTTCTCCGCCACTCCTCCCTCCTGCTCGATCACAATCCCAAACAGATAGAAAAGAGCTCAAATTCAGCGCCTCCTCAATGTAATATAGCTCCAACCTTTTTCTAACAACCGTCCATAAATAGACCAACCACGTCTTTTAATCTGCAGCAATTCGAGCGCGATATTAACAAATCAGTAATCATATAAACACGAGCATCGTAGGCTGTAAGTTAACAGATGCTTGTAAACTCAAATCTCTTCCAATGTGGTTTGAGGCTGTGGTGAAGTGTGTGCGCTCCTGAAATGCGTCTGCATGGGGTGGTAGATTGAGATTTTTACTGGCGCTCGATGTGAATTCAGCAGCACGTAGCTCACGACGCGAGCAGGTCCCTCCTCCTCCTTCATCACAGAGAGAGAGAGGGGAGTCAGTCCAGTTCAGTGTGTGTGTGTGTGTGTTTGGGGGGGATGCGGATGCTTTCAGACAGGGAGGGGCAGATGCATACGTAGCTCCTGCAGAACCTCCATAGACTGTATGGACATTATCCTGGACAGTGTGGTGTGTTTATACTGTTTATAATAATAAAAAAATGAATATAATACACATCAAAAAAGCATTTTTAAAAATGTATAATAATATAGGCCTAATAATATAATATAATATAATATAATATAATGTAACATAATATAATATGCCGCAACCCTCGGATAAGCCGTTTGAAGAATAGATAATAATAAAATATAATATAATATTTTTTTCTTTTTCTCTGTATTTGTAATTAACATGCAAACATTTATTATATGAATTGCCATTTACATATGAAAATATAGAAAATATTTGATGAATCTACACTCTTAGAAGAAAAGGTTCTAGAACCTTAAAAGTTGCTATCAGCGCTACATATTTGGAACCCCTAAAAGGTTCTATACAGAACCATTTTTAAGGGTTCAATAATAAGAACCCTTTAGGATTCTTTGTAACCAGGAAAAAATGTTTGGGTTCATTCATTATCATTTGTTTTGTCATTTCCGGTTTAAATGTTTCATATTATTGACAAGCATCAAGACCCTAAAATGTATTATGAATGCATGTGAATGATCACAAAATTCAAGATATGGGAGTTAGAAAATGTATACAGTATATTTACATCATTTTATGTAGTTAATTAGCATCACACGAAGAGTGCCATTTCAGTTTTTCTCCTCCAAAAATCAGCATGATTAAAATGTGATATTAAGTTACTACAACAGTATAATAAACAATAATTTAATTACAAAATGTTGCAGAATAATGTAATAATGAATATAGCCTATGAAGAACCTTTGTGCCAAAAGGGTTCTTGTCATTACAGAACCTTTTTAGCATAAAAGGTTCTTTGGAGTTGATTAAAGAACCCTATGCTTCATAGAACCCCGATGAACCCTTTTTTCCAAGAGTTTATAGCAGTCCTAGAAAGTTCAAAACAGTGCCCGTGTGCAAACCGCTTTGGACTCAACCGTCGCTGGAAAGCACAGTGAGTGGGCACACTTGGTTGAGACAGCCTATGTGTGTGTGTGCGCGTGCACCAGTGCATGCCGATGAGGTGCCACTGACAGACACATATTGTACCAGTGCCAAGTGAGTGGAATCATGGGAACCCATGAATAGCTGCCTGGGGGTGGGTCGAGAGACCAGGGTAGCAGCGCTTACAAAGCCCTATTGAGGATGACACACCGGGCGCTAGACTGGCACTGAATCTAGTGACATGTGAGGTATAAAGGGTGCAAGGAGGCAGGAAGCATTATCCATGGTACAAACTAATGAAGTATTGCACTATAGGCCTATATGGTATACAGACCTCTGGAATGACTTAAAGTGATTTTAACCTTGGGCAACCACCAACAAAACAATCTTTATGCCTCATATTCAATGCACTTTAAACAGCTATCTCTGAGAAATTCAAAGCTTTTATCATCTTAACTGTTTTTGTGATCCTATTCATTGTCCAAAACAAGCATGTTCTAAAACCATTTATGTCCCCTTAACACGCAGTGCTCAAAATCATTTTGCATGCTTGTCTTTTAATATATAAAAAAAGGCATACATATGAGGTTTGTTGAGTGTTTCTCTTCCCTTTGAGATTATTAAGATGTTTTGAGTCATCCCAATAGTCAAAAGTGCACATTGATTTCCTTATTTGATGTTAATTAACATCTCCATTCAGAGTGTAGAGATTAATTGCATGAAGCCGCAATGTCTCATGGTTTTACACATAAAATGTCCAAGCACTTAGCTGTGGTGGTCTTTTTTATAGCTTGTGATTTGCAACACGGCAAACACGGCAATGTCAATAAAGTCAGTCAAAGACTGATGATTAAGTTTGCAGAAAAAGGATTCATTGACCTGATCCAAATTCTAGGAATCCTTTGACACACCCCCTTCTGCAATACATGTGTGAATCTGAATCGTGTTAAGAGGCCACTGCATGATGAACTCGTCCTCTTGATTTTTATATATAAATGATGTGTAAAGAATATTGAAAAAAAAAAATATATTGTATGATAATTTTTTGGGAAAATGAACAGACGACAGGACATTATTTTGAGACAACAGCTTTATCTATAGTCTATTTCCATGGTCAGTCGCCATAGAAGAAGCTGTAATCAAAAGTTCAGATCTTACTGCAGAGCAGACCTGCTGATTTGTATGTGAACGCCCTCTCGTGTTTGCAAGTTGCTATTACACTATGAGTACAAAAGCTCTCACTAGGGCATTTCCAATTTTTGTAGCCTAATATGTACACTTTAGGAACCTTAAAGGGTGTATATTAGGTATATACACTCTAATTTACACCCTTCAAGAGTAAATAAGGTACAAAATGCGTACCTTTGGAAATGGTATCATCAGTGACAACTTGATTTTGCACCTATTGGAAGTTAATTACAAAGTCTTTTTGTTGTTGTTGTTGTTGGATAACATAGTATCTTCCACAACTTTTAATATCGCATTCAGATTGAGAAATGTCCATGCTATTTTTAATAGCAACAGTAATAGTATTTTTATTTTTAAATGTTTTTAAAAAAAAATTACCTTCTACTCACCAAGGCTGCATATATTTGATCAAAAAATAAAGTACAACCATAATTATGTGAAATATGATTACAATTTAAAATACCTGTTTTCTATTTTTGAGAGTAATTGATTCTCATAATGACAAGTTGAATTTTTAGCAGCTATTACTTTAGTCTTCCTTGTCATACGATGCTTTAATCGTTATTATGCCATTATGCTCAGTAAATATTTCTTATTATTATCAATGTTGAAAAAAGGCGTGTTGCTTAATATTTTTGTGGAAACCATGACACAGTTTTTTTTTCAAAATTCTTTGATAAATAGAAGTAACGTCACTTTTGATCAATGTTATACATTTTTTGCGGTATAAAATAATTAATTTCTCAAAAAAGAAACCTTTTTAGTAACCACCATATTGTGTCAAACTAAATTTGCCATATTTAAATGATCTTGAACAGCAACATGTTAAATGAAGGGTGGCTTTCTAATTAAGGAATCTCTGGAAAAAATCTTAAAGTTTAACCACTGTGTTTATTTGCTAAATATGATTATCTAAAGACAAATTGACACAACAAACACACCCCAGTGTAACTTTTGTTTGTTGTTTTGAACATCAGCTGTTCTAAGTTATTGGAAATGTGATTGACCACACCTAGTGGCAATAACTGACCTTTAGAGACTTGACAGAGGTCATGGGTGAGAAGAAGTGGAGCTCAATCAAGTCAAAATAAAGCTTGAGGAAGACAATCCAGCTTGATTTGTCAGAGAGGCACTCAGAAATTGTATTACCAGTGTTGTCAGAATCATAAGAAAATGGTTAACGGAGTTGCAGATGGATAACAAGGGGTCCAAACACTGATCCCTGTGGAACACCAGTGCTGCTGGTGTATATACGTATGTATATAAAATAGTCTCCATTGCATGCTTTCTCTTTTCTGTTCTACATCTATGTATCCTCTAGGTGGCAGCAAAATACACTTAGTGGCCATGAATTCTATACAATATGGGATCCCAATCATATTTGATATAGTGTTTTTGATGTAGTGTTTTGCCTATAATGGTAATGTCTTGACTGACGTAACACGCACTGCCCATTTTCATTTCATTGGAAGCTGAATTGATGGTAATGATCCACCTGAGAAAGTCTGAATTGCTCTTTCAGGAGCTAGAGAAGATGGGCTATGAAGTTTCCATGGTTTCTGTAGAAAATAAAACACATTATTCACATGTTCCTACAGCAATCACAGGCAGCAGATGTCTTCATAACTGCAATGACTAGATGAGATGTACTCTTTTAACAGTTTCAAGGATACTTTCTATGTGCTCAACCATCTATTCATTGGAGAAAAATGATTCTAAGCCCTTTTCAATAGACCACCATGGTAATATGTATAAGAAACTTTTATTTGTGGAAATTCTCAAATGTAATTGTTAGGTATAGTATAGTAAAATAGTATAATTTGTTTTACCCCCTTTGAAAATTATAAAAAAAAGCCAAAATTATACTTCAGTTGCCTCTTTCTTTATTTCATTGTTTTAAGGCATTTGTGTTGTTTTTTCTAGATCTTTACTTGAAAAAAAAATTGTTGGTGTTGCAAAAAAGTATGGCTGAAAAATTATATCACTATAACGGATACTCATTGTGGTTAAACAGGTGCACAGACAGCTGTCATTTTCACTTCACTAAGTAGCAGATATTCCAGGCAATGCTATAGCAGTCTGTGGAATGCATGCAAAGACGGGGACCTTCAATGCACTGTTAAAAGAAGATGCCATTTTAATAACCCTCAAGTAATAGCCGTTAGAGTACACTTCACTCCAGACTTCTCACAGTCGAGCCCGTGGCATTACTTACAGCTACAGAACAGTTGCATAACACATTATCATGACCTCTTTTGCGAATGAAGAGATGTGAAAACTGATCTCTTTGACTTTCCTACAACAGTGTTAACTGCTCTCAATCTCTCTATATTTCACAGAATTTGCATGTAGGCCTATTGCATTATTACTGTCAGGCAGAGATGGCAAAGCATTCTCACCCCAAGGTGTCACCTTTGACCATGCTTCAATATTTGGCGCTTTAGGTGCCCTTTAGCGTCAGCGACATGACGCGATCCTACGGCGTCATCTAAATGACGCTAAAGGAAAAGCGTCAGTTAGATGACGTGGGTAGGTTTAGGTCGCGCATGCGCGAGAACTGAACTGAAGTAGTTGAAGGAGATCGCAATTCTCGCGCATGCGTCGTGAAAATCCAAGGAAGTCTCGTTTCAGGCCAACAAGGAAGAAAAGGAATAGTCGAATAAACTCGTTATTTTTGTTTGTTTTTTCGCACAAAAAGTATTCTCGTCGC